CTTTGTAAATAAATCCATATGATTTCTATCATTAGTTATGTCAATCATGTATGCTCTGTAAATAAATCTACATCGAAGCTGTGTTCCTTAATTAGTTATGTCAATCATCTATGCGCTCTAAATAAACAATTTAGCTACATGTAAGTCATCTGGAATTTAATTTTGGGTCAGTCAATTTTATATGTTGCTGATCGTTATTAAATTGACCGACCACATGTTTGGGCGAGTTGATTTCTTAATGGGCCAAAGCCATTACTAGGTGCGACCCAACCTTCCCATTTCTCCCTTTGTTTTTCTCTTCTTTTGTTTTTTCTGTTTTTTATCTGATTTCATTTTCAATTTTTTATTTTATTAACTTATTTTCATATTTATTTTCAAGGTATTTATGAAATTTTGGGTGAGTGTAAATATTTACGCACAAATACTATACATCCAAAATTGCATTGTTATATGATTAGCTTTCACATATTAAAAAAAGCACAATTTCAGTGCAAAGTTGTATGCAACTATTTTTTACATTTTTTATTTTGTTTCTTCTTAAAGGATAATACTTTTGCTACTAATTCGTTCTTTTTTGTAAAGCTTTATTATTTAATTTTTTTTATTTCTTCTTTAAGGATAATACCAATGTCACTAATTCATGTTTTTGTAGGAAACTTATTTTTTTGTGAAAAATTCTACTATCATATGTTTATTCTGGCATATTTTAAAAAATCCATTGTTTGCTTTATATTTTTTTCCATTTTCTTTAAAGGTTAATACCAATGGCACTAATTCATTTTTTCATAGAAAACTTCATTGTTTTGATTTTTTTTGTTTTTTTGTTTTCTTTTCTTCTTTAAGGGTAATTCCAATAATCCAATAACATATATAGTGAATATTCCATAATGATATCGATATCAAGCATGCATTAAACTATTAAGTAAAATTACATTAAGCCCGATGACATGATGTAGATATTATATTATTTTCACCATGCGTAGATTGCTTTATCACACCTATCTTTTTATCCTCAGTGGCAACGACACAATAAAAACCTTTATCACTTTCTGCCAATGTGGTAGATTGCTTGATTGAACCCCAACTAACATACACAACTCCCTCTTGAAGATCGTTCATTTAAACATGGCGAGTGCAAAACTAATAAATCACAGAGTATATAAGTCTATAAATTATGCAGCAAATCACTCATATGAATCCATGAATAACATAGATAAATCTGATCATAAAATGATAATTTATCACACCACAAAGAACACATCATAAAGATTACACTAGATATATCAAAATCAATGTAGGACAGCTCATGTGATCATTGTATAGAAAAACAAGGCAGAGATTGTCATCTAGTTGGTAGTGGCAGCAACGTTGATGTAGATGGTTGCCGTGATGAATTCCCCCGCCGACAGAGTGCAGAAAAAACCTCCAGAATGGATCGCAGGCAAGAATTCCGTATTGAGAAAAATGGTACTTCCTTTTTGTAATTTATAGATCGATTAGAGCCTGCAGAATAGAGAAGTTCGATGGCAGAAAAATTCCTCGATAAATATGACATAGGGTTTTGGGCCAATATAAAACCAGGGGCGTCAATAGGTGGTGGAAGGTGCTTATGAGACCCATGCAGCCCTGGCTCGCACCCCTAGCCGCGAGCTAGGGGCACGTGGGGCTCACGGGCATCACCATCCAGCCCTCTGGTGCTTCCTTGTACCTTTTGGACTTAACAATCACCGACATATTTTTTCTGATATTTTTGCTCTCCTGAAAATTGTTTTTCTAAAAAGTTTGAAAGCGACAAAAAACTAAAACTTCATTCGACAATGAATTAATAGGTTAGTCAAAATAATAATAAAAGGTGGTGCCAAACTATACAATATAGTATGATTGTAACAGGAAACAATTTTTTTAATAAATATGCCTAGAACATATCAGCGTCCCTAAGTTTAATGTCTGATCATCTCCAAGCATGTAGATAATAATAAAATAATTTTTGATTTTGAATGTTACCTTAACATGAACATGATCAGTCTAAGGATGCGGCTATTTTGCACCCGGGCTCATATGAGCCCGGGTGTGAACAGTAAAATATATGAGCCCGGGTGTGAACAGTAAAATCATTTGAAATATTACCTCCATTCCAAAATTGTATCTTAGATTTATCTCGATATGGAAGGATCTAACACTAAAACGTGTGGCTGGATACATCCGCATTTAGCCAAATCTAAGACAAGAATTTTGAGACAAATGGAGTTGTAATAAACAAATTCAAAAGGAAAAAGAAAAAACCTTTTTTTTTGTGAAGTTTGGACACTCCAGAAGCTCACGGCAAAAATCCGAAGACGAGTTCACTACTAGTTTAGACAAACAAGGATTTTGGGACAAAGGGAGTAGTAAATAAATTTCAAAAAAAAAAACTTTTTTTGCAAGATGCTCATGTGCATGATGCCGGTGGAAAATTTGATGAAGGTTGAACATTCGAGAAGCTCGTGGGAAAAAAGCGACAAGATGAGTTCACTGCCTGACGCGTACAGAGCTTTTTTGTTTTTGTTTTTGAGACAATCCTGTAGAGAGCTAGTACTTCGCTGCCTGACGATGTGGCCCGGCCCACATATATGACAAGAACGCATTGGTGGCTTAAGTGCAGCTCCAAAATGGAGCGTGATGTGCCCCTCAAAAAAAGAAAATGGAGCGTGATGTGAACGTGATAGGACGACGCGTACACTGTCTGGACTTATCGTGTTATCCTCTGCGTTCTGCGAGGTACTAGGTACCAGTGCCGCAGTGCGTGCCAGTGTGTGGTTGTGGGCCTTGTGGCATGCGTACAGTAGGCAAATACGTACGTACGATTGGACACTCTGCTCTCCTTGTGGAACATGCGTCTCAGCCAGACAGCCACACACAGGGTCTACGTTACGTGTGGGGCGAGTGCACTCTCGCTACGTACGGCCCTAGTCGACTTACGAGGATATCTTCTTGCTACTCCACGACACAAGGTATCAGAACACGCGCACACGCACACGCACCCGCACCCGCACCCGCACCTGAGAGAGAGAGAGAGAGAGAGAGAGAGAGAGAGAGAGAGATGGCGGCCGGTGGCATGAGCAGGGAGGCGAGGTGGAGCCTGGCCGGCGCGACGGCGCTCGTCACCGGCGGCAGCAAAGGGATCGGGTGCGCAATTCTATATAACCTTCTTACGTACACACATGCTATGTACACGTATACTCATGTGCTTCTGTGGCATCATGGTGTCGATCGATGCAACGCAGCCACGCGATCGTGGAGGAGCTGGCGGGGCACGGGGCGCGGGTACACACGTGCGCCCGGAGCGCGGCGGAGCTGGAGGAGTGCCGCCGCCGGTGGGAGGCCAGGGGCCTCCCGGTCACCGTCTCCGTCTGCGACGTCTCCCTGCGCGCACAGAGGGAGCAGCTCGTGGAGACGGTCAAGCAAGTCTTCGACGCCAAGCTCGACATACTGGTAACTAATAATAACTACATGGACTTGTACTTGGCCCTCTTTCTGAGAGTACTTACAATAGGAGTAACATAGATAGATGGTAAAATCACATATCTCTAGGCAAAATAGATGGAGAATGTGACGAGTAATTAATGAGGGAATATGGGTATGTGATAACATAGTTAGTTATTGCAACATCAAATATAACAAGACAAGATGAGTCTACAACCTAATAAATAAAATATTACATGACACCACACATATGTTACTCCAAGATAGTAATATAGAGTAGTAACATATGCTAATCTTACTACCCATGACTAGTCTAAAATCTCCAGAGTTCGTATGTTCAACCTGATTAAGTTTAGATTGAGATCAGGCCAGCCGTCCAGAGACTGCAATTGGGCTCTAAAATTCCACCCAATCCAAAGAGGTTCATATAGGTTTTACACTTTACGGGGCTGACCATTCCTATTGTACATATTCAGGTGAACAACGCGGCGCAGGCTCTTGCCAAGGCGGCAGTGGAGTGCACATCGGAGGAGTACACGCACCTCATGTCGACCAACCTAGAGCCGTGCTTCCACCTCAGCAAGCTCACGCACCCCTTGCTCCTCGGGGCCTCCATCGCCGGAGGAGGTAGCATCGTCAACATATCCTCCATTGGGGGCACGCTTGGGTTCCCGGGCTACGCACTTTACGGTATCACAAAAGGTAGTATGCGCTATTCCCTCCAGTTTTCCTACTTCTGAAATTCCAGTACTATTATTATCTCGATAAATAGTCAGAGGGATACTTCAAAATTACATCATCCATCCATGTTAAAAATGAAACTTTGAAATGATGACAGTTTAAAAAATAGTGGGTTAATTCGTACTTTAAAGATCATGTCAATGTCCAAAACAGAGGTCATGTTTTCATTTAATATATTTGTAAGGTCCAAAAAATGAATGTTGTATTTCTCGATACAAATTCACATGCATGATTTTAGGTGTTCAATCTCAATATTTCTAGATACCAACAGTCAATTGATTATTTTGAAAATTTGAGTCTTTGCATGCCTCATACGACGATGTTCTTTCGAGACGACCGCACTACAACATTTTAACTATCCAATCTAACTATTTGTGAAAATAAATACTCAAAGAAGCTCTAATTGAAGGTGCTCATCGCCATAACCAGAACTTGATCCAAATTTCAACTTAGGCATAAAACTCACATATGTTTTTTGCCTCTAATTTTACCGCCTGACATGCAGGAGGGATCAACCAGCTCACGCGGAGCCTTGCTACCGAGTGGGCCCAGAACAAAGTTCGAGTGAATTGCGTTGCCCCGGGCGTGACCAAGAGTGGCATGTTAAACAGTGTATGCACCGACCGTGTCTTTTTAAAAGTACATTAAAGAAAATACACAATCAGAACTATTTAACCAAATTAGTTATGAGTTATGACCTTTTTACGTGTATAGTACTACCTCCGTCTAAGTTAATAAGTCATTCGCATAGTTCTAGGTCATCGATTTGAGGAATTGAATATATGTTGTATGTCATGAAAAGTATATCACTAGATTTCTACACGGGCGTAGTTTCTAAATATATATTTTTTGTTACATATAACACATATTTAATTTCTCAAATCGATGATCTAGAACTACGCGACTGACTTATTCATCTAGACGGAGGTAGTACTGGTGATTAGAGACGACGAGTTCGCAGAATCCTACTACACAACTCTTTAGTATCGGTTTTTCTAAGAAACTAATCATTTGGAGAACTGATCATTTGTGTGTGGAACAGGTCGCACCCGACATTTTAGAGAAGGAGTTGGCGAAGGTTCCGATGCGGCGGGTAGGCGAGCCAGAGGACGTGGCTGCAGTGGTGTCATTCCTCTGCATGCCAGCGGCATCCTTCGTCACTGGGCAGGTCATCACCGTCGATGGTGGTCGAACAATTAGTGCCTAGTTAATTAATGGCACCTCACCGATAAAATCGTGTGCATGTTGATCAATTTATAAAGTAGCCGGTGAGTACTACCTCCGTCCCGTTAGCTTGAAAAACGTTCTTATATTATAAGACAAAAAGAGGAGTTAGCAAGGACCTGAGTGTTGTCCACTAGTATAATTATTTTGCTACATTTTTGATTTGTTTTTAGTTTTTATTGTATTTATAAAGTAGATTTGCGTATTTAACTAGCCAAGCAAGCGTGGCCGCACCCATGATGCATGATCTTGGATGTTGGCATTGCCGTTATTGTGCCTTGTGTACTTTTGTTGTACAAGTTATAAAGATGTGTACATTTTGGAACCGAACCGATATAGAGCACCATATAGTGGTGATATTCATCACATAGAGTGAAGCCTCTTAATTATTGATCTTTGGTATAATACATATAATTAATTCTTTTTCCCTAAACTTAAAAGGTAATTAACCATGGCACAATTGAACACAACTATTGGATCTTAACAGGGGTATTCAATTTTGCCCCGGATACGCACCTACATATATATGGTTCACATAACTATTAAACCATAAAGAGGCATATAATCAAGGACAAATCTTTGAATTGTCATGCCCAAAAAAAGAAAAATTCTCCATGGGGAAAGCTTAAACGTTGTAGAAGGGTGAACTATGTTCCTTGCCACAAGACCATCCAATGCATAAAAGCTTCCTATGCCCTTACTGTAGGAGCACCCAGTCGCCCAAAAGATTTAAATTATTACTACCACCATGCTAAAGAATTACGCGCAACGACAGAAATAAAATATCTAATGATTTCGTCTGATTCAAATCCCCCAACCCCAATGCCCAAACCAACAACCGGATCCGGACAAACAGGAGGTCGCGAGCATCCCAGGCCGGCAGGAAAGACCGATGAATGAGGGAGAGGACCGCCATCTTCAAATCAGGTCGATGGGCAAACCCAAGATCGAGCTCCATGCTCTTCGTCATCACGCCACCCGGCGGCCATAAATGGCGCATACCAGCATTCCATGCCAATCCCCATCGTGGGGAAGGAGGCGTGTGCCCCAATATGACCGATCAAGTACCGAACGCACGGCACCTCCGAGTTCTGCACACGTTCAACTCGATGACGTCCCTCGAACTCTGATCCAGCCGAGTGTTGAGGGAGAGTTTCGTCAGCACAACGGCGTGGTGACGATGATGATGTTCTACCGACGCAGGGCTTCGCCTAAACACCGCTACATTATGATCGAGGTGGATTATGGTGGAGGGGGACACCGCACATGGCTAAGAGATCAAGAGATCAATTGTTGTGTCTATGGGGTGCCCCCTGGCCACGTATATAAAGGAGTGGAGGAGGGGAGGGGCCGGCCCTCTCTATGGCACGCCCCTTTCCTAGTAGAACTAGGATCCCTTCGAAGTAGTAGGAGTAGGAGAGAAGGAAAGAGAAGGGAAAAGGAGAAGGAAGGAAGGGGGCGCCCCCCTCCCTAGTCCAATTCGGACCAGCCCATGGGGAGGGGTGCGGCCCCCCTTTGAGGCCTTTCTCTCCTTTCCCGTATGGCCCATTAAGGCCCAATACGAATTCCCGTAACTCCCTGGTATTTCTGAAAATACCCGAATCACTCGGAACCTTTTCGATGTCCGAATATAGTCGTCCAATATATCGATCTTTACGTCTCGACCATTTCGAAACTCCTCGTCATGTCCCCGATCTCATCCGGGACTCCGAACTCCTTTGGTACATCAAAACAAATAAACTCATAATATAACTGTCATCGAACTTTAAGCGTGCGGACCCTACGGGTTCGAGAACTATGTAGACATGACCGAGACACGTCCCCGGTCAATAACCAATAGCGGAACATGGATGCTCATATTGGCTCCTACATATTCTACGAAGATCTGTATGGGTCAAACCGCATAACAACATACGTTGTTCTCTTTGTCATCGGTATGTTACTTGCCCGAGATTCGATCGTCGGTATCTCAATACCTAGTTCAATCTCGTTACAGGGAAGTCTCTTTACCCGTTCCGTAATACATTATCCCGCAACTAACTCATTAGTTGCAAGGCTTATAGTGATGTGCATTACCGAGTGGGCCCAGAGATACCTCTCCGACAATCGGAGTGACAAATCCTAATCTCGAAATACGTCAACCTAACAAGTACCTTCGGAGACACCTGTAGAGCACCTTTATAATCACCCAGTTATGTTGTGACGTTTGGTGGCACACAAAGTGTTTCTCCGGTAAACGGGAGTTGCATAATCTCATAGTCATAGGAACATGTATAAGTCATGAAGAAAGCAATAGTAACATACTAAACGATCGTGTGCTAAGCTAACGGAATGGGTCAAGCCAATCACATCATTCTCCTAATGATGTGATCCCGTTAATAAAATGACAACTCATGTTTATGGTTAGGAAACATAACCATCTTTGATTAACGAGCTAGTCAAGTAGAGGCATACTAGTGACACTCTGTTTGTCTATGTATTCACACATGTATTATGTTTCCGGTTAATACAATTCTAGCATGAATAATAAACATTTATCATGATATAAGGAAATAAATAATAACTTTATTATTGCCTCTAGGGCATATTTCCTTCAGTCTCCCACCTGCACTAGAATCAATAATCTAGTTCACATCGTCATGTGATTTAATACCAATAGTTCACATCACCATGTGATTAACACACATAGTTCATATCGACATGTGACCAACACCCAAAGGGTTTATTAGAGTCAATAATCTAGTTCACATCGCTATGTGATTAACACCCAAAGAGTACTGAGGTGTGATCATATTTTGCTTGTGAGAGCAATTTAGTCAACGGGTCTGCCACATTCAGATCCGTAAGTATTTTGCAAATTTCTATGTCAACAATGCTCTGCACAGAGCTACTCTAGACAATTGCTCCCACTTTTAATATGTATCTAGATTGAGATTCAGAGTCATCTGGATCAGTGTCAAAATTTGCATCGACGTAACCCTTTATGACGAACCTTTTGTCACTTCCATATTCGAGAAACATATCCTTATATCACTAAGGATAATTTTGACCAATGTCCAGTGATCTACTCCTAGATCACTATTGTACTCCTTTGCCAAACTCAGGGCAGGGTATACAATAGGTCTGGTACACAGCATGTCATACTTTATATAACCTATGGCTGAGGCATAGGGAATCACTTTCATTATCTCTCTATCTTCTGCCGTGGTCGGGTTTTGAGTCTTACTCAACTTCACACCTTGTAACACAAGCAAGAACTCTTTCTTTGACTGTTCTATTTTGAACTACTTCAAAATCTTGTCAACGTATGTACTCATTGAAATACTTATCAAGCGTCTTGATCTATCTCTATAGATCTTGATGCTCAATATGTAAGCATCTTCACCGAGGTCTTTTTTGAAAAACTCCTTTCAAACACTCCTTTATGCTTTGCAGAATAATTCTACATTATTTCCGATCAACAATATGTCATTTACATATATTTATCAGAAATGGTGTAGTGCTCCCACTCACTTTCTTGAATAATACAGGCTTCACCGCAAGTCTGTATAAAACTATATGCTTTGATCAACT